CTCTGAATTATCTGGTGAATTAATTATRAATTAATTATCTGATGAACGTGACATGCTCTTGCTCTCTGTAARTAAAGCAAAGCCACTTCCTCGTCCGACATYAAACAGAGCCCGACAGAGGAGGGAGGGGCGGGGAGACTGTTGCCGTGCAGCGCTTCAAGAGCTGACCTGCGTCTGACCTCAAAGTGCACAAGCGACCAACTTCAGCGTTGGCTGAGATTTTGAAGCTGAAATCGYGTTCGTTGTGAACGCAGCATAAAAAAAAACATACTCGTAAAACATATCTGTGCACAAGAAAAATACTGGCTATAGTTTATACAGAATTTTATAAAAACCAGTACAGCTGACTTAGTCTGACATTTTTTTTCTAAATCTTATTATTATGTAGTCGTAAAGGTTTTTAAAGATAATCCTGATGGATTTGAGAGAAAGATCATAGATTATTTAGAAAGAAAACAAGCTAGCATGAGCTAACATTTTAATTTTTGTATTAGCATTTTTTGTATTAGAAGTATTATCACATATTTGCATACAAATTATTAGTGTTGCGAGTATTAAAAAATAAATAAATAAATCTGTTATGTTTGGTCACATTTTCAAAGAGCCACTGCAGAGGGACCAAAGAGCCACATGTGGCCTCAGAGCTTCAGGTTGCAGACCCCTGGACTAAGGGAATGAAACAGTTAATGCGAGTGGCACGTGCTCAGGAAAATTAGCTCCACGAGCATGGCAGCTGAGTGGGGGATAAGTTGATCCTTAATCACTAATTCAGTCAGCGTGCCATGAAATAACATGAGACTAGCTGTCACAGAAAGCTGACTACTCTCTGCCAGTGGCGCTTTCAGGTGTCGATTCATCTCTCYCCTCTCATCAATTACACAAACCAATGACAGATCACTCCGCATTCATTTGTCTGCTCACATATGCATGGTAATAAACGTGTCTGATATCAAAGTAAATTAATTTATTCATATGAAGATGGAGTATCCACTGTACTCTGTGAAATGAATGAATGCACTCAAAGCCACTAGCCGGCCTGACAGCTCAAGGCGGTAAAGCATTCTGCCAGTTATATTTCGTGTCTTTTCATTTACACACTTAACTGCCACGAGTCGTCTTATTTATCAAGTTTTGAACTATATGGGAGCCATGAAGTTAATTTGTCTTCACGTTTTGACAACATGAAAGGCAATGCTCCATGAAAAGCCAGCTTTGATGTGTGTCCTGTGTCAACACGGAACGGATGTTGGATGTGCTGCAGCAACATTTTAAGCGCACAACAATGGGGAGCTGCGCTAATGGCGCCATTATGTCACAGGGGTTCAAGGTACCGATTTTGAACATTGTTCTTCAGTCCCTGTTAACGGAATAATGACCAAGTTTYAGCTGGTTTTATCAATCTCATTCTCGACTGTCTTCCAACAGCGCACCATCACTCACCTGTTCTTGACGAGGTCGCCCACGACACCTGCGCTYTCATGGTGGTCGCTCAGCTTTTTCTTTGCCTTGAGCTTGTGCTTTCCGTCCCCTTTAGCGTCCTTCTCTCGGCCCATGTCTCACACGAACACAGCACATTCGATAATAACTGGGCCGCTGCAAATACAATTAGGATGAGGGGGGGAATCAATATTGGAAAATGAAAACTGACCAAAAAGCCTTTATCACTCGTTAGCTAACAGTACTCGCACCAACGATAGCTAATTATCTTAACRTATCTAGCATTAGCTTTGATGAATCTACATTTCGTACGTGTTGAAAACGAGAAATTAACTAAATAAACTTTCTTACCACTTGTTAGGTCGGCAAAAAAAAGACAAAATGAGCTGCTTTCCGAGTCGAGCAAAAGTTTAAGMTGAAACGTTCCCACGCCTATCTTGACCTGACTGACGTCACTCAAAGCTGATTTATGATTGGACGGAAGAAGAACTTGGCAGCGCGAGGCGCCAGGTTGGTTTGTGTTTTACCAAAATGTGTGACCCGTTTATCTGTGGTTTGGTTCGAGGCCCAACAATGGTAGCCGCAGGCATTGCCTTAAAACTGGTCAAAATATATTTCTCAGAATTCTGAGATTTAAGTCAGAATTCTGACTGAGATTAAGTCAGAGTTCTAAGAAAAAAGTCAGAATTCTCACTTTAATCACGGAATTCTGAA